CTAGAGGACACCACCTAGAGCAGTAGAAGTGCCTGAAGGTTTAGGTGATATTTAACAGATTCATGGGTAATTGAGTATGAACACAAGCACTTTCTAAAGCTTGTTAACTGGTAAGGACTGGTGATTTATTAGCCTGTTAAAATCAGGTTCTAATAACTGCTTTCACCTTTTTCAATAGACTATTAGCTCTGAGAGGTTGAAGTAAGTATTTTCCCTAGTGTCTAGCCCCATACCTACCAGCAAGATGGAATTTAGTGTTAAATGAACAATTGAATGAATGATTGAATGCAAAACAAATTTATTTATTAACACTAGACTAAAGTAAAATCATGTATTTCTCAAAATAAACTTGGTCCGAATTGGCTGGGATTTTTGTGACCGGTGGATCATGCTTCTTTTTTTTTTTACAAATTGAAAAACCACAAAATCAGGGATTTTTTAAAGGAATTCTTTCACAAACGTGTTCATTGTAAATCCAATGCACGTCTCCTGTTGAATTGGCTGCTTTGTGTAATCGAGAGCCAATTTCAATGTTCACATGACAATGAAAATCTCAAGCTTAAATTTATTAATATGTTGCCTTGGCTGAACACCAGGTCTCTTAATAGCAAAATATGGAGAACAAGGATATTAGTCTCCAAAGACTTGAGTCTGATTTTGAAAATAAACGGATGTTCTTAAAAAAAATCTTTCAGAAGAAGGCATAACTGTAGAACTATAAAGCAATTTAAGTGAAAAATAATTCAAAAGACGGAATCAAATTAAATTTTAGTATGATGTTTAGTTTGGAGCTCCTGCTGAAAGAAGGCCTGAGAGTCAAAATATTTAAGTGTTTTTAAAGCTCACCCAAGCAATTCAAATCCTGAAGCTCACTGTTAGAAAACTGCTTATCTAGACATACTTGACAGGTAATTTGCCAAACATACCAGGCTATGGAGCAGAAGCACTGCATGTTTAACTAGGCAGACCCCAGAAAAAGGGACTCATTCATTTCTAATAACCATGGCAGTCTTATATTGCTAAGTATCTGTCCAACACTATGTCAAGTGCTATACTGACATTATTTTATCCAATCCTTTAAAAATTCCTATTAAGCAGATGAGGAAGCTAAGACTTAAAAATAATTAGAGAAAACCATTCCAAACCAATGAGCCCTTAACTGGCAAAGTAGGATTTGAACCCAAAACTACTGAACTCCAAAGTCTTCTATGGGCCACTCCATTCTATTCTGTTGTTTCTCCAAGGGTGGTCCTCGAACTGACAACATCAGCATCATCTGGGAACTTGTTGGAAACCAAAGTACAAAAACCCACCCAGACCTTCTGAGTCAGAAACTCTGGGTGTAGGGCCTATGACTATTTGAACCAGCTCTCCAGGAGTTACTAATGTACAAAAAAAGTTGGGGAAGTACATCTCTATTTTTCCAGCTTAGCAAGTATGCAGGGTATTCCTTATAGATTCTAATAAAACTCAGAAAATTAACATTACATCCATCTCTTTGTTTGAGCCATGTGAATAATAGTCACTATACCAGTGGTGACAATTTCTACAAATAGAATATGTAAAATGAGCTCCAGGGAAAATGACACAGAACATTATTATTATCTAAAAAAAAATGAACAAAAGTACAATAATTGGAAGTCTTTCAAGACCTGACTACACATATTGGTTTGGGATTAAAATAGTAATCACTTAGCTCATTTTGAGCTTTAATAGATAAAACAGATTTTAATATAATCTGAGAAATGCGTATTTTGCCAAGAGGGCAAGAAAAGAGAAGAGCAACCATTCAGGGTGCTGTGATTAAAGTGAAATATAATATTTGAAAATGGCAATCAGAATTCCAATCTATTGCTATGAGCAGTTATCTTGCCAAATAATGAAATGTATTGACATTAATGCTGAGCTGTCATTGGCATGTTATAAGACATTGACATTTTCTAAGCAAAGTTACTGGAAGTCATTCAAATATTCATAATGGTGTAATAGGTGAACTGGAGACGTTTTCTTTCAAAAAACATTTTTGTTCCAAATGCCTTGATGAGAAAATATTTGGAAGAAGGCACAATAAATTTATATAAGACTTATATGGCTGAAATTGATTTTTATTTCCCTGGGAATTTAAGAATCTTTTAATAGTTGAGAGCTGGTGTACAGCTGCAAGAGGTTGGCTTAATTCGAAGCCAATATTTATGCTTTCTTGATAGAACAAATGAGAGTTCTTGTTCTGTTTTCTGTCTGATACTGAAAACCTGGCAACACTGGGATACGATATTTGCTTCTTCAAAATGTTTCTAAATTGTTGCTCACTGTTTGGTATTTCATCTCAAAGCTGCTTTATTTATAATATTATTAAACCTCAAGGAAATCCATATGGTAAAAAAGAATGGAGAAATTTTATGATTTTACTGTTTTATTCCATTTTTAAAGAATTTACTTGAAACTGAAAATTGTTCTAGTCTATTATTTAGTCTTAAGGTGTGTATCCATACTTTGCAATGGGATGGCTTCAGCAGATGGGTAAATTGTATTACACAGTAAATGTTATGGCTGAGGTCTAATTCTGTAGAAATTCCTTTTTCAAGTAGGTATGTGAAAGTTTGTTGGATTCTTGCTATTTCTGTCTTAAATAAAGCAAATCCAGCCTTGTGAACAAGTGAAGATCTAGCAACAGCTACCAACAGCTCTCACTCCTTCATAACTTCTGGATTTTTTTTTTTTAGTGTTGCTTATTTACTCCTCTTGCTTACCATCTCTCTACTATATTGAGGATCTACTAAGGGCCAGCATTATGCTGGGGGCTTTACCTGTAGGTCATATATCCAGGTGTGGTTCTCTAACACATGGTAAATACTTGAGCAAATATTATATGCAAAATAATACTTGTGCTCTCAGCAGATGTGTCTGTAGACAAAATAATATAGGCTCCCCCAGAATCCTAGCTATAATGTAGTGTTGAAGATTATGTGTATTAGGGCTGGAGATGCAACTCAGTGGTAGAGCACTTACCTAGCATGCATGAGAATCTCGGTTTGATCCCATCAGCAAAAAAAAAAAAAAAAGAAAGAAAAAAGAAAAAAAAAAGGAGGAGGAGGAGGAAGAAAAGTATTGGTGGTACCACGCAGGATTGATTCTAATCCTTGCTCTACTGCTTACTGTTTAAGATCTCTTGTGATCATTTAAACATTCCAGGCCTCCATTTCCAACCTCCAAGGACTATTGTGAGGATTAATACAGAATGCTTAGAGCAGTGCCTGGTTTGTGGTAGGAGGTTGATATATTGTAGCCATCATTATTATTCTCAGGACCTTATTTTCCTTATCTGTAAATTGATGCATTAAACAAACCAACAAAAACCATATGGAATTATTGTGAGGAATGAGGTAGAGAATCTAATATGCCATTTCACTATTATATGTTAGCATGCAGATGCTTGGCATATTGCAGTTACAAATAAAAATATAAATAAATGGATAAATGAATTATATATGTAAAACATTTAGCACAGTGCCTGGCATGCAAGCCGTGTTCAATAAATGGAGGCTTCTATGTAAGTATTTTAAACTATTTTTAAACTATTTTGTAAATCATTTGAAAGAACATTTTCTCAAGCCTGACCTGTGTCCATAGTACTGTTTAGATGGGAAATCTTCACTGCCTGAACTAAGACTTCCAAAGAATTTGTCCAGTGGCATTGTGGAATAATACCTTGACTAGGAAGGGGTTAGTGGTAAGATCATTAAGTCAGAAATCCAAGAGACCAACAAGACTTCAAGTCCTGGCTCAGTTATTTCCTAGACCTCTTCAAGTCTCTTTTCTTGATTATAAAATGATTAGTTTGGATTGAAACCTCCCCTTAATGACTCTGGATCTTCTATCGTTTTAGAAATTGTATTGTAAATCTTTGTTCCTGAACATATGAACAATTTTTATGACTTATCCTTCATGTATCAGCATACTTATTTCACAAGTGCACACATAAATGTGAATGTGAGGGAGAGTCAGTAGTACCTTCTATACATTTTAATTCAATATATGAACTTTTCTTCTAGAATACTGAATTAATCTTTCCTTTTGTCCTTCCTTTTTCTTCTCTCTCTCTCTCTCTCTCTCTCTCTCTCTCTCTTTGGTGATGTCTTCATAGAGTTGTAGATCTGTCATCTCCATTAGATTAGAAATGAGAAATCTTCTCAAAGAAAAATCCCTGATTGAGACCTATTTTTTCCATTCCATGGAACCACCATATGACCCAGAGGTATCATTCCTTGGTATTGATCCTAACCCATACATGTGTTTATGGCAGCACAATTTACAATAGCCAAACTATGGAACCAGCCTTGATGTCCATCAATGGATAAATGGATTTTAAAAATATGATATATACACACAATAAAGTTTTATTATGTCATTGAGAAAAAAATAAATTATGTTATTTGCAGGAAAATGAATGGACCTTGAGAACATTATGTTAAAGGTAATAAGCCAAACTCAGAAAGTCAAGGGTTGTATATTCTCTCTCATACGTAGAAGCTAGACAGGAAAAAGGAAATAAAAGGTGTGGATATTTTTGTGAAAATCAAATGGAAATTAATATAGTAGAGGAAAGGGACCAGAGAGAGAAAGGGAAATAATGAGGAATGACATTGACCAAGTTATATTGTCATATTTTGTGCATGTATGAATATGTGACAACAAATCCCACCATCATGTACAATTATAATGTACTAATAAAAATATGGTAAAAAGGAAAAAACCTATTTTTTTCCTATTTCAGTCTAATAGGATTCCCACCTTCCACACTTGTCCATTTTTTCTTGCTTGTGTCAATTTAACATTTATCATATATCCAACTTGTTAGATGTGTGTGTTTGTCTACTGTTTCCCAATATAGGAACAGATGTCACTAAGTGAGTACTATTTTCAGAGACCATTGACTAATTTTCTAATGCCAGAAAATTGTCTAATTCTTACAATCTCATTTCTAATCTAAGGTTCTGAGGTATCATGGAAACCAAAGCTTTGTTCCCCTATTTCTATTCCAACATTCAGCAGGCCTGAACATCAATGTCCCCATCTTATGACAAGTTCTTGAAAACTTGCTGTGGAGAGCTCAAACATACTCGAGAGACTTTCTGAGACCTCCCATACTCTAAGAGTTTTTAATTTTTTTTTTTTGGCATTACCATTTGCAAAAGTAAGAGATTGGACGAGGCTATTATTTCTGATCATAAAATCAAGAGAGCACATACTTAAATGAAGTAATAAATATAGTTTTGAAGTCTTTTTTTTTTAATTACGGGGAACTCTTGAAAAGTGGATATCATAATCAACCTAGGAAAGTTACATTAAACCTAGCATTTGGATTAGTCAAGATAAGCTAACAGCTTCAAATTTTCAGAGATTCACACAATAAAAGTTCATTTCTGACTCCTGCAGGTGTTCCTGGCCAGCCATTGATTCCCTCGTTAGCAACTCGGGGCCCAGGCTTCTTCCATCTTGTAGATCCACATTCAGGATCCTCTCCATTCAGCTGCAGGATGAGAACAGAGAGAATGTAGAAGATTTAGCAGGTTTTTATAGGCCAGGCCTAGATATATATCACTTCCCACCTATATCCCAGAGGCCAGAACTTAGCCACTGGCCATACCTTACTGCAAGGAAGACTGAGAAATGAAAGTACAGTAAGAAAAGAGAAGAGGGTAAGCAAACACACATCTACTATAGCCCTCAACATATACTTTACATTCAGCATTATTATTTGCCTGTAAAGAGCCCATAAATTGTTACCCTTTTCACCACTGGTACCTCTGACACTATTTATAACCACTATCAGAGCCTCAATATAATACAAAGCCTAGGATAAATTGTAAGCTGTGATAAGAAATGACCTCTGAATTAAGAATATTGCTCAAAAATACAGCTCTCATCCCACTTTAATACTAACAAAAAATAAACTAAGGATAAAGTAGAGAAGAAATATTTTTGTAGCATGCATTTCATTTAACTATACCTCTTGAGGCCAAGACCTGATTTATGTATCCATGGTCCTTATTTGGTATCTGGCATATACTAGGAGTTACATAAGTATTTGTTTTTAGGGAACAAAATAGAGAAATGTATTGAAAGAGTGCGGAGAACAAAATAATTGCTTATAACTGGGGGTTGCACTGTAGAGCTTTAGGAGGTGAAGTTTGCATTGGGATTATTATTAGAGTTGTACCGTAGATAGCCAGGGGGAAAGAGCAATCAGAAAATGCACCCAAGAGAATGTGGAGATTGAACAGGGCTTTGAAATTTTTACATGAACATAAAAAGAGTAAAGACATCAGAGACAAGAAAGACCCTGTGCAGAAGCCCAGAGTCGTGAAAAGACAGCTCACAGACAGGTAACTGGGGGTTCTGCTGAGTCACAGAGATAATGGATGAAAGGCAGAGAAGTACTTAGCCATTCAATAATGGAGGATGTTGAATGCCACCCTAAGTTTGAAGTTCTTTTGGTAGACGTTCAGCAATTGTTGTTCCTTTCAAAGGAAGGAGATGGTGTGAGCCAACCATACAGTGGGAAACTCACTGGCCTTCTGTGGAAAATGGACTGAAGTAATGAAAGGCAGACAACTTGGGAGGCCACTGCCATAATGCTGCTGAGAGATGTTAAAGACCTAGTTAGGATAATGACTAAGTGGACAGAAGGACACTGTGACTCATTGGCTGCTCCAGGTAGGAGTGAGTTGGAAGACAGTGGGTTGATTACAAAAAGGGAGAGGAGCTTTTAAAATAGAGATGATATGTTCAGTGCAGTATATATTACGTTTGAGCAGGACATCTTCATAAATATCTGGTCCATAGTTCATGAAAGAGGGAAGAAGAAGATTTATGAACTATGAGCCCGTGGTTAGTGGCTTAATCCACAAAGGGCATGTAGGCAGGTAGGTTCTTCACTGGTTCTTAACAGGGTTATATGTGAATGTAGGAGGGGAGTGTTGGTCTAGTTCACCTATTACTGAGTAATAAACTATTCCAAAACTTAATTATAGAACAAAAGAATTTATTTTCACTCATAATTTATTGGGCCAGGAATTTGGAAAGGACTTGGCTAGGTAATTTTTTTTTAAATGACATTTGCTATATATAGGCTGGGAGGATCTATTTGCAAGATAGTATCTCCCCTTATTTATGGGATCTTGTCCTTTGAGGACACTTCATATGACTTAGGATTCTAATCTCATGGTGGTTTCAAGATAATCATACTTCTTATGAGAAGCAGGATGTAAAAGGCACTAGGCCAATACAGGGCCACGCCTGGAACTATCATCATTTCTGTCACACTATTAGATGTCACAGGTTCAATCCTATTTAAAGATGCTGAGACCTGGACTTTATCTCTTGATGGGGGAATGGCACAGTCACACTGCAGAACAGAAAGTAAGATGGAGAGTTCATTAAATTCACCTGGGGAACTTTTCCAAATCAGCTATTATGCTCCCAAGTTTTAAATAAGTTCCAATTATGCATTGGCAATTATGACACATAGGCTTGTCTAACACCCACTGGGGTGCGGAGGATAGAGGGAAAATGGCCCAGGACTGAAATATGCAAAGAAGAGAGCAGCTCTGAGTAGGGAGTTTCTACTGAGAGACCAGAGATGAAGGAAAGGAACTAGAAGCAGTATGAGAGTCAAAGGAGGCGAGAATTTCAAAGAGGGTGGGGTCAGAGCACTAAATGCTCTGGGGACAATGAGAATGAGAACTGAGCACAGACTGCTAACTGGCTTTCGAAGCTCTCCGGGCCTCTCAGCAATCTGTTTCAGTTGGGTAGAAATTTGAATTCGGAAGCTTGCAAATTGGGTCTGCAACCCTAACAGGTAGTTTTAAGGACTGAAATAGTAGTTACATGACGGTGATATAAGCCAATTGCAGATAACAGCAGTTACGGACGACTATTCACAATCAAAGGGACACATTTGATGACAGCCTTCACACTGTGTCAACATGGTAGAAGGGAAAGTGAGCACCTGTGAGACAGAGAAAGGTTGGGGACCAAACTTATCCTTTGATCAAGAGCCCACTTCTTACTGCCATTACCATGGCAATTAAATTTAAATATGAATTTTGGGGGTGACATTCAAACCATAGCATTTTGGTATTTACTTTTATAAAATTTGAGATATCAATCCAGAATTATATAGCATCTTGGTTAGTTCTTATTGTGTAACAATTCACCCCAAAACTCAATGGCTTAAAATCAAGGATCAGCAACTACATCCTGTGAGCCAGATGACTGTTTTTGGAAACAGAGCTTTCTTTGGACACAGCCATGTTCATTTATTTACCTACTATTTTTGGCACTACAACAGCAATAGGGGAGTTAGGACAGCTTCGTGAACCTATCATATTTACTATCATGCCTTTTAGAAAGAGAGAATTGCCAGATTCTATTTAAAACAATGAGTATATATTACTGATCTTGAGTTGGTGGGTCAGTTTTTCTGGTCTCTCATGCCTCAGTCATGTTCAGTTTGCGTTCTGACGGAATGGGCTAGGTTCTCTCATATGTTGAGCTAGTCATCTTTTCATTGCTGTGACCAAATGCCTGACAAGAGCAACGTAGAGAAGGAAAGATTTATTTTAGCTCATGGTTTCAGAGGATTCAGTCCATGGTCGACTGGTGTCATGGCTTTGGGCTTGAAGTGAAGCAAACGTCAAGGCAGACATTTGTGGAAGAAGAAAGCTGTTCAGATCATGGCATCTGAGGAGAAAGAAAGGAGAGAAAGGAGAAATGGAGAAAAGATAAACACTCCAGCCAGGTCTGCAGTGATCTACTTCCAACAACTAGGTCCCACCTCCCAGTAAGTAGTCCATTCAACTATCAATGGATTAACCTACTGATGAGGTCAGAGCCCTTATGATCTAGTCATTTCCTAAAGCCTTTGAACACACGAGACCTTGGGGGATATTCCAGCTCCAAACCATAACATATGTGGCAATCAACTGGCTGTCAGCATCTAGGATCGCTTTCTCTGGGGTAGCTGGTATCTTTTTCTCCTTGTGTCTTTTTGTCCTCTATCAGTCTAGCCTAGTTCTAGAGTCTGAATGTTTACCTCCCAAATTCCTATATTAAACCTTAAGTCATCAATGAGATAGTATTAAGGGCCTTTAGGAGATGATTAAGGCTTGAGGATAAAGACCTCATGAATAGAATGAACTCATACAAGAGATGTGAGGGAGCTATTTGCTCTTTTGTTGTGTGTGTTTCTATGTCTTCTGCCATGGGAGGATATAGATGCATCCCTTCTGGAGTAAGAAGTATTCAAGGCACCATGTTGGAAAAAGAGATCAAGCCCCTCTGCTGGATCTTGGAATTCCCAGCATTCAGAACTAGGAGACATAAATTTTTATTACTCAGAAATTACCCAGTCTCAGATATTTTATTATAATATTAGGAACAGTCAAAGATACACCCAGGCTTGTCCATAAAATGCTAGTAAGTTTCCAATAAAGCAAGCAGATGCATACAAAGTCTCTTGAGACCTAGCTCAGAAGTGATGCCATCCCTTCTGCCACTTCTGTTGGCTGAAGCAAATCAAGATCAACCAGATTCTAGAGGTGGGGAATAATGTTACTCAAGATGAAAGCCATATTGTAAAGCCATATTGAAAAGGATGTAGATACAGGGAGACAAAAAGTATTATAGCCACCTTTGCAGTTAATTTATCTCACAGAATATAGAAATCACACCAGCCTGAGATTCCAGAAGACTAAGATTGGATTCTGATCTAGCTGCAAACATACTGTGAACTTGGACCTTTGGGCCACAGACTCCTTAGGACTAAATTCTATATTAAAAAATGCCGTACTCTGTTCTTGTTTGCATTCAACAAGTGTTTATTTTCTTGCAATATTTTTTAAACAAGACTTGAAAATACTCTCTGTTTTCTAATGTGGTATTACTTGGGCCAGCATAAGGGAAAACATCTGCTTTTATTTCATTCTCTTGACAGGGATTCTAAACATTTGTAATTTACATGAAAAAAATTACAACAGTCATACTGGATTTCTTTAAAATATGAAGAAGGAAGAAGGTCTTGCAAATAAGAATGACAGAAGCCACCTTTCTAGTAAGAAGACAATCTATAGATGGTATGTATTCAGAATGACTCAAGAAAAAAAAAATCCCCAAGTCCTTACCTTCACCCAGAAGTACTGGTTAAGAGGTAATGTGAGAGAGATTTAGGTTACCGAACCCTCTAGAGAGTACTGTAGGAAGGGTTATGAAGACCAGGCTTTCTGTATACTTGTTAAACCCTTTCCAAATGGAACTAGGAGGATGTTCCTGGACTGGCCCCTGGGGCAATCCTCAAGCAGCATCCTCTGTACCCAGTTTGCAAGAGAGCTCTCCAGGCATCCGCCTTCAACAAGGTTGAGGCTCAAAACAGCTGGGGCTGGCTTTCATGATGATTTTCGTTCTTGTAATCTGCTTCTCCATTCTTCTCCAGGATACCTCTGTAAATAGGGAGCCAAAGTAGCTCCAATCATGAAATACCCTATTCATCAGCTCTCCTGTTTCCAGATCACTTTAGTCTGGTCCCTTCCTCCATTTCCTAGCCATTGCTTACTGTTCATCCTTGTTCTGATGTTCCCTTTCCCTTCTTTCTCACTTATTCAGAATCTAATCAGTCTTCAGAGCCAGGCTAAATTCTGACTTTCCCTGGAAGCTTCACTAATTCTAGGTCCCTCTGACATCTCCCATACAGTCATAGTTTACTCAATAGGCAGCTTGAGTATGTGCTTAGGGCACTTACAATTCAAGTGCCTTATCCCACACTCCTCTGCTCCTGTCACAACCTTACCAAGTCTATGTGCATGTATGTGTACACACACACACACACACACACACACACACACACACACTATTAGCTTTAATAAATGGAAAAATTCAGAAATAATTAATTTTAACTTTAGTGCACGTAACTTTTATGACAGTTCAATAACACTTTTTCATTACATGAGGAAGAAGGGTATGTTATTACTGTTTTTCAGTTCATAATATTCAGATTCTTAGTTTCGTACTTCTGTTAGTTAACTCTCCATCACTATAACAAAATACCTAAAATAATTAATTTATAAAGAGAAAGAGGTTTATTTTGGCTCACAGTTTTGGAGATTCCAGTTCATGATCCCTCAGCCCCATTGTTTTGGGCCTGTGGCAAAGCAGCACATCATAGCCGGTCTGTGTGGTAGAGAAAAACTGCTCATCTCATGACCAGGAAGCTAAAAAAAGGAAGAGGAGATGACCAGAGTACTATAGTCCCTTTGCGGGGAATACCCCCCAATTACCTAAAGACCTTCCACTTCTAAGAATCTACCACCTTCCAACAGTGCCACCCTGGGAACCTCGTCTTTAACACATAGGCCTTTGAGGGTCTTTGGTCTTCCCTCTGAAATTATATTGCACTTAATGAATTTTGCATAGGCACAGGAATTTAATTGTAAATTGTCACATATATATATAGTCTATGGTTGAGTACATGAATTCTGAACTAAGAGTGGTGTTGTTAGAATCTTAACTCGACACTGACCAGCAAAGTATTTGTGATACAGTCTCCAATGAGGCCTGACATCAACTCTCTTGCTTCCTGTACACGCACGCTATTCCTCTGCCGGAAGGTGGCACATCTTTCCCCTTCTCTTAAATCTTGGTTAACTTGTGACTGCTTTGACCACTAGACTGGCAGAAGTGATGTTCTGAGACTTCTGAGTCAGGCCTTAAAAGAACAGGAAGATCCCATTTCTTTCTTCTTGGAATGCTCCTTCTTGGAACTGGGCTGTCATCCTGCCAAGGGAATATGAAGGAACATGGATGCACTCTTCAGATAACCCCAGCTGTGTCCCATCGATAGCTAGCACCAGTTGCCAGGCATGTGAATGAACCATTTTGGATACTCCAGTCCAGATGAGCCTCCAGATAAATGCAGCCCCAGACAGCATCAAGTGGACCAGAAGAACTGCCCCACAGAGCCTAGTCAACGTATAGAACTGTGAGATATAACAAAATGCTGGTTGTTCAATTCGTTAAGTTTTGGGATGATTTGTTATGCAGCAACAGATGACAGAAACAGTATTTAACCTCACAGATTTGGATTTTTCCTCTGTAAAATGGAGTCAATAATAGTATATATCTCATAGGTCTCTTTTGAGAATTATGCTATTACATATTGTGTATATATTTGACAGAAAATTGAACCAAGGGGGTGCTCTACCACCAAGCTACATCCTCAGTATCCCCCCCTTTTTTTGGATACAGGGTCTTGCTAAGTTGTTGAGGGGCTGACCTCAGACTTGTGATCATCCTGCCTCTCTCCCTGGTAGCTGGGTCATTATTATTTTTAATATGCAAGGAAAGGCTCTGTCACCAGTGAAAAGAATTTCTGAATTAGAGAGCAGATATGAGTGCAGAAGTTGTAGGAGCAGGAGAGGAAATAAGTGCAGCTAGCATTTATTGGATACCTACTGTGTGTCAGGACTTGTTCTAGGTTTTCACATATCTTACTTGTTTCTCACAGAGACCTTATTAGGCCCATACTTTTATCCTGGTCACTGGGTTGAGGTTCAGAGAGGCTAAGCCAGTTTACTCAAGGTCTTACAGCCAGGAAATAGTGTAAGTAAACTTCAAACCCCAGCCAGTCTGACTAAAAAGCCCATTTTTATTTATTTTTTTCCTCACCTTCCTACATACTTTGGATAGAGGGGCTTCCTGAAATCTTCCAACATATAATTACTTTTTTTTTTCAGTGAGAAATGACATAATTGATCAGATTCTGTTCAACTCAAACCAACATTCTGCCTCTGACAGAAATACTGAGGACAACTTAAGAACAAACCCTAAAGCATGTCACTTCCACTAAGAAAAGTATTACAAATCCAGCATCATGGAATCTAGATAAATCTTTCATGGAACTAGTTATTTTTAGCCTGTGTCACTTCTCTGGGAAACAATTTCCAGGCATGTAAAGCTGTACTGCCTTTTATTTTTCTCTAAAATATACCCTTAGCCCTCCGGGAAGAGCTATCCTTCATGCCTGCATACACTGTTGCTTAATTTATAAATAGGAAGTTAACTTATTTTTCTCACAGAGTTAGTTTTCTGGGTAAGGTCAGTATAAATCTGATAAGAAAACTTTAACTAGGTCTCTCAAACCAGGCCTCCAAGATCCTGGCTGAAAGCGCAACACAGAACTGCGTCCAATAATAAAATCCTCCTCAAATCTGGGAGCACTCAGCTCATTCCTGCCTTCTCAATCTTTTAAGTGCCTCCTTCCCATGCTCCTTCTTTCCCTTTCCCCAGTCTCTTGCAAAATCTTGTTCCAAAATGTCAGTCAACCATCAGCTAATGGGATCAGAAGTTGCCTCACAATCACAAAAACCTCCTGGTCCTGGCCAAGGGCCCCCCATTACTCCACTGTCCCAAGATGACCTCCCAGCCTCTGTGACGTAAGAAGACATTTCAGAGCAGCTTTATAAATGGAGAAAACTCATTTGTTATTTTTTCAAAGAATCAAGAAAAGAAAACATTATGAACAAGGAAATTTTTTGGTGGGTCATTGGCTGGGACACTGAAATTTGAACATTGAACAATTAATTTGAGGATAATATAAACAGATTTCATTATACAGATTTTAGGAATATGATATGAATAGTTTGTTTTTAATTCTAGAATGTTCTTCCCCCCTCCCACATGCCACACCACTCTCCACCCACCCTCTTACCATGAGTTGGCATTGTTGCTCCTAGATTCTCTACTCTGTTGGTTGTTTTCTCCATCTATGTCTGCTGTTAGAGTACAAGTGAAGGCACTCTCTGGTTGGCTTCATGTGGTTGCCTTGCCTACATTTACTCTGCTTTCCTATTGTGTTGCTGACACACATTTTTAAGAGTTCCATTGTATGACTTTCTATTCCCTCCCTACTCTCTTCAGAAAATTTTCAAAGAAATATTTTTTAAATGTTTTGTAATATAAGTAAGGTTCTTTCTAATTCTTTGTCCTCTTTTACAAATACAGCCATGTAATCCATAAGGAATCCATTAATGTGTAGAGGCTTTGAAGCTGCTAGATTTTGTGTGTGTGGTGTGTGTGTGTGTGTGTGTGTGTGTGTGTGTGTGCGCGCGCGCACGCACGTGTGCTGGTTATTTTCTTTTTCTCTCAGAATCTTCTCACTGCCAACTGCTGATTTAGGAATGTTTAGGGGTATATGCCAACTCAATAATCAAAATCATTTTGGTACTGGGAACCCAAACCCAGTCTCTGTAGACCAGTGGAATTTATTGCTTGCTCCAGTTTATTAAGTAATAGTACCAACAACATTTTGAATAAAGAGGAGTCTGATAAGATGTGATAGAATGTCAGTGTAATTCATTTTGATCATAAAACAATGCTTGTTTTGAATCTGAAATAGTAAAAGCACAAATAGCCCCGATGGTCATGGTCTCCCTCCCTTGACCTGAAATAGGAATGTGATTCATAGCTCAGTTCATAAAACAGACTCAGTGCAAACTGCTGGTTTTCTGCTACATGCACATCTCTGCTTTCATTCCACAAGTACGTATGTAGGACCTACTGTGGAGCCAAGTACTATGCTAGGCATTTTTACCACAGTGGTGAAGAAGATAAACACAATTCCTGCTACATGGCATTCACTGAAGGAAGATATCTCAGCAGTATAAATTACTTCTTGTTGAGACATTTAAGGCAGATGCCATAAATGAAAGTAATGCTGAGGCTTGTGGACTCTAGATTCTGACTTAATTGTGTTCTGTGCCAGGTTGTACCACTCCAAACTATTTTATCTTGAATAATTTACATGGCCTTGCTAAGCTGCAGATTCCTAAATTGCAGTAGTACTTACTTCATAGTTATTTCAAAGACTAAATGAAAAAAAAATCTTTGCACAGCTTTGGGCAAAGTGCCTAGTTAATAGCCAATAATAGTCATAGTAGTAGATGAGCCATGGTTGATCTTCATCAGAAAAAGACTGTTTCCTCATCCTTGGTATTCCAAAGTTCATGAGCAAACCATCACCAGGAGGTGGCAGATCCATCCCATCCTAAGAGTCTCTGCAATTTGAAGAAGAGGAAAAATAAATAACTAAACAAATAGCCTTTCCTAATGCTCAGAAACGCACCCTCTGCCTTCCAAAACTGTGATGCCTCCTACTATTCAGAGAAGGTAGTACAGCTTCTTACTCCTCAGCAGCCCAACAGCCTTCGATGAAGATCCCTCTTACTACCTGAGCCCCAAAAGATGCAGCGCCCTTCACTATTCCTGAGGCCTCTCACCATTTGCTAGAGGTGTGGAAGCCTGCCACCCTGATGTAGACTCTTTCTGCTGACTCTGTCTCTTGGGTATCAGCAAGTACTCCATCCTTTTCCATCTTGATCCCAGGAGCAGCAGCAGGTCTGGGACTTGCCGTGATGCTGGGGCCTTCAGAGATCACAAGAAACCCACCCTGGTAATAGATCCTGGACTGCTAGTCCACTGGGGATGGTGCTTTTTTCAAACACTTATCTCTAAAAGAGCATTCAATAGTTACTATGGCTGCCACATGACATTGTGTGGGGCCTGAGAAAACACAATTGCCATATTTAACCAGACTCCTCCCAAAATGGTTATGAGGGTTTCCTTGACCCATGGGGCTACTCTTCCTAAATTGTGATAGGGGTAGAAAGCTATGCCCAGTTGATCTGTTCCATAGCTATGCCTCTACAGGGCTGCCTCTGAGCCAGCAAGAGAGAAAAGTTGGATTGGTTTCCAGTCTAGGGATCCAGGCACAAAAGGAACCAATAGTAGCAAATTCACTCCCTTCCTATAAAGAGTTCAGACACAGAAAATTCCATTTGGAATCCCACAAAAAGTTCCACTCCAGTTGGCCCTTTGAAATCAGATGCAAATCTAGAAAAACTCAGGACTAGGCTATGTCTTATACAAGACTGAAGGGTTGAAGGGAAGAAGGGTGCTGAAATTTGGACTACACGTCTCTCTTAGCCTGGTTATGTGAGTAAAGCTCCCAGTGGAAGGGCTGCCATACATTCAGTTCCCACAGACACTATCCACCCACACAGCCAGAGAGGCTACCTTTCCTTCTTAGCATGCCCAAAGCTCTCCTCTTTATAACTGTCATAATGTATATGTTCAAGTGGGTGCCCAGCTTCCCTCAAAGCCTTCCAGAATTTGATGCTACAGGGCACCTAACTACTTATAATCTGAAGCATCCATCCCACATTTGGAAATAGCCACTTTGTACAGGCCTGATGCTAACTTTGGACTCTGGTTTTCTACCAAGGGGTAGAATGAGGGACTCTGTTCATTTAGGATTTAAAATATATATATATATATATATACATTTAAATATACGATATATGTAAAATTTAAAAATTCATTTAGAGATAATTGTAGATTTGCACATAGGTGTGAAAACTATATAGAGGGATCCTATACACTCTTTACCCAGTATTTATTTTAATAATCAGTATTTGTTTACACTGTTTTTGTGAGAGATATCAGGAAAACCAAGACACATCAGATGAGACCCCTGACTCTCAGAACCTTCTAGTCTCAAGACAAAGAGACACAAATGGGGCTTTTGATGAATCCTTTGTGCAAAGTGCCAAGAGAGAAGTGAGCATTTTAGAAAAAATGGTCCTGGGCAGCATCTTAGGGGATGAGTAGAAGTTTTCCAAGGACAACTCTGTCAGAGAAAAGAGCATGGGCAAAGGCTCAGAAGGAGGAAGTAATCTGGTGTGTGCTGGGAGCCATTCAAGAAATTCAGCATAGATGGGAGCAAAAAAATTCAAGGAAGGGATTTCAGAAGCATCTTGGGAATGACAATGGAATGTTGTGTGATCTGGCCTCCTGCATTCTATACTGGGAAAATAAAAAACACATGGGGAATATGCTCCCAAACATGGCACAAAGTTGACTCTCAGAGGGGGAAGAGAGAATCTCCTTCAGGTCAGAGGAGCCCACAAAGGCTTCACTTCCAACCGTTGGAATATGGCCCATTTCCTTCCGTGTCCTGTACCCAAGGCCAAGGGCAGGAAGTCTAGCTGACGTTATATTAGTGGAACAGAACATTCTTCTCCTGTATAAGGGTAGCAATCGGAATGAAAAAATGCTGCCCTAGTTGCCAGTCTAGGCTGCTGGACTGGGCATAGTCACTACTGACCATCTTTGGCTCCCAAGTGGCATGGAGGGCATCTAGAAATCATTGAGGGTCCAGAGAAGGCATAGAAGGTAGCTGATGGTGCTCCTGGCAAACTCAGCAGAGGGTTACTAAAGTAGGGGCTCACAGGGCAGACCACCTGGGCTGGGAATACATTTTAGTCAGCTTTGACCAAAAGACCTAATAAGAACAGAGGTCATAGTTTCAGAGGTCTCAGTTTATAGTTGGCTGACTCCATAGCTCTGAGTCCAGTATGAAGCAAAACATCATGGTGAAAGGGCATGCGGAAGGAAGACAGCTCAGGCCATGATCATCAGGAAAGAGAGAGGGCTTTGCTCACCAGGAACAAAATATAAACGCCAACAGCACACCCCCAGTGACCTATATCTTCCAGCCTCAGTCCAGTTAATCTAGATCAGTGGATTAATGCACTAATGTGGTGACACCTCTCCTAACCCAACCATTTCAACTTTAAACTTTCTCATATTGTCTTACACAGGAGTTTTTTGGGGAACACCTCATATTTAAACCATAAAAGGATCAAATAGGAATACCATGTTCACATTAAAGAAATATACAGTCAAGAAAGCTGAGATGAGGCAAGTTAATCAGAAGGCCTCCAGACCCGGACTGAACTTAAAGACAGAAAACCTAGCATATTCTAGCCACTGATGTCCACAGAAGGTGCTAGCGAGTGAGGAGTGACCAGATAGGCAGGGAAAGATGGGGAGGATCCAGGGAGCAGCAGGGGATCAGCACACAGATGTGAGTTCCACCTCCCACCATGCTAAGAAGCCAGTGAGGTAGAAGAGAGAGAGCAGACGCTGAGATCTCAAAATGTAAAAGTCCTTCTTACCAAGATGGAGCACATAGAAAAAAAATTCATAGAAAAAAAAAAAAACATTTTCTTTGTCTAAATGAGCATTTTTTTTGTGTGTGTGTAAATGATCAGTCCTCTGTATGCGGTTTAAGAATACCCTTGGCTGAATTTTGGTGAAAACAATTTTGTTGTTGTTGTTGTTTTATTTTTAATTCAGAATAAGGATCCTATGCTAGTTAGTAACTTCTAAATCATGCCATAATCCCTGCCAATGCTAAAATTTTTTCTCTAGAATATTAAGTAGAAGAAGAGATGAGCTCCCTTTAAAAAAGCCAGTCCTCAGGTCCAAAGAAGTGATAAACACTAGTACATCTTCAGAAAATGGGGATGCGGCCTGCTACTCTCTAAGAGAACTTGAATAGCCCTTGGATCTGTGAACTGGTTTACTTCAGGATGAGATTTTTGGGAGGGCAGGGAGAGAAAGGAGGTGGGTGGGAGATTGAGATTTGTGTGGGATAAAGAAACCATCAAATTTAGGATTTGATGGCTCATGGGTCACTGAGGGACATTTTGTGTGTGTGCGTGTGTGTGTGTGTGTGTGTGTGTGTGTGTGTGTGTTTTAATGTAAGAAAGGGATTTTCTTAGAAAATTCTTATTTTCATAAAGCTTTCTTATTTCATCTCAGTTTTCTCAAAGTTACATAATCTTCTGATGAACTCCATCTTGTTAACAAGGATATTTCCACTGAGGGAGCTCAGTGGTTTTGCATCAGGTCATTCCAGATTCCAGGCTGAGAAAGCCCCTATGTGGGACTCGCCTGGGAAAGGGACAAGTGAACTGGCCAAAATGTCTTAACCCATTAAGTCCCAAGTATTCAGTTCTGTGAATAATTTAATGACACAAGTGCATTAAAATAGGTCAATACTTGTTGTCAATTTAAGTTTTTATAGATATTCACATCTTGGATGATGGGACAAAGTAAGATCTATTCCTTCTGTTCCAACATGGTGAGTACCATAGTTATTCACGTTTCAGTGGTCAAACACGGCATATGACTCAGCCCAAGTCCAGTAAGGTGAAAACATAACCCTGCCCCTGCAGGAGACATAATAAATCACATGACCGTGAGCAAGAATAAACAGTACTCATAGAGAGGAGCTTGAGAGTAATTGAAAAAAAATATATAATCTGCTATGATAATAAAAACTTATAGAAAAATTGAATAGCACAGAGAAGAAGGAAAACAAAAATTACTTGTAACCCACTGTTAGCATTCTGATATATTCCCTTTCAGTACATATATGTACACACATTTGCTTGTTTAACCAATTTATTATTCTATAACATATACATATTTACATATGCCTTAAAATCTGCTTATTTATATAGAATTATATATTGAACTCTTTCTCACATAAGTCATAATTTTTTAAAATATCATTTTAGAGACTGCATAGTTTTTGTATTAGTTCTATTAGTTTTTATAGCAATATCTAAAAACTGTCAGCTTGGTTGTGTGACTTCATAGAACAAGAGTTTGTTCTTTGTTCAGGTTACATGTCCAGCCCAGAATGGCTTAGATGCCCTGTGCATCTTGCTCACTCCAGAATAGAACAGAACCACTGCCATCTCAAATGTATTTGGTTGTTGTGAAGGCAGGAGAGAACTAAGGAAAGCATGTGTTGGCTCTTAGATCTTCTGTCCCAAGAGTTTTCGTGTTCTGTTAGCCAAAGCAAGCCATATGGTGTCACTGATTTTAATAACCACAATATTTTATAGATCTGCTAGTCAAGAGGTTGAATCTTTTTTCCAACCCTTGTCCCTTAGCTTGGCCATGTGACTTACTTTGGCTAATGGGACACTAGCAAATGCAATACTGAGGTTTGACACATGCTGGTGTACTGGAACTTCTCTCTCCATGCTTTTAGAACAGCCTAAGATTGAGCTAGAGGATGAAAGGCCACATAGAGAGGCTGGGCTGTCCCAGATGAGTATGTGAGGACATCCTCAATTATTCTGCTCCAGCTGAGCCAGTCCAGACCAAAAGAACCATCCAACCAATCCACAGGTTTTGAGAATGTTTTAAGATATGAAAACTGGGGGGTTGTTATGCAGTAAGAGCTGGCAATGTATGTGATTATCTCTAATATAATCTGGGGAGGGAGCCATGTTTTGGAAGAGTCTTTATATCTATATCAATATTAAATCTTATAGATGTGCAATCATTTGTTTAACCATGTTCTTATTGTTAGAATCACACTGTGACCAAATGTGTGACACAACATTTATTACAACTAGAAATAACACTCCCATAAACATCTGTGTGTATACATTTTTACCCAAGTTTCTGGTTATTTCATAATAATAGAAACTTCCATTATAAAAATAGATTGTGTGTATACATTTTTATCCAAGTTTCTGGTTATTTCATAATAATAAAAAACTTCCATTATAAAAATAGATTGTCTGAATAAGAATTACAAGGTCAAGATTTAAGCCTCTTAGTATGTACCAAATTATGTGCCAAAAGGATTGTACCAATTTATATATATCATGAAAGTGTCTAAGTATAACCATGTTACTGCAGCCTTATTCACTATTATTGAGTGTAAACTTTTTTAAAGTATTTTTTTAGTTGTAGATGGACATAACACCTTTATTTATTTGTTTGTTTGTTTATTTATTTTTATGTTCTGAGGATCAAACCAAGTGCCTCACATGTGCTGGGAAAGCACTCTACCACTGAGCTACAACACCAGCCCCTTGAGTGTGAACTTTTAAAAACATCTTTGGCTGGGCATAGTGGCATATACTTATAGTCCCAGATACTCACAGGGCTGAGGTGGGAGGATTATTTGAGCCCAAGATTTCGAGACCAGTCTGGGCAACCTAGCTAGATCCTATCTCATAAAACAACACCAAAAAAAAAAAAAAGCAAAGGAAAGGAAAGAAAAAAAAAACTTTGCTAAGCTGATGGGGAATTGTTTTTCATTTAAAAGTTAATTTCTTTGAAAATTGAGGTTGAAGTTTTTGCACTTTTTTGAATTTTATACAACATCCAAAGTTTATGTTATATTTATTTACTTTTCTATATTAAATCAAATTCAACTTGAGTGCCCCACAGAACAAAATTGGCAGGAAGCCCAATACCCAGTTTCCTTTCCCTCCCTTAGTTGGTGGGGACCTGGATTCCTGCAGAGGTAGTGTGGAAGTGGGGGGCTCTTGCCACACCCCATCTCTCTCCAAGCTAGGCTCTAGGACAATTTCACCTGTTTCCCATCCTTGAGGTAGTGTTCAGTTCTCACACTTGGACTCGCCTTATTGAGGTCTGTCTACCTCAGAGACACTGGAGTGGGTACAGGTCCCCTTTCTGCTCACATCTGTCACCATTTGTCGCCCATTATCACCCTCCACCAACCACTTTAGGAAGATGGGGCGCAGATGTCTAGTTCCCTGTACTTGACAGGGTTAGTTATGGTTTGGGAAAACTGAAGTGTGGCATTGAGGAGGTGGGGAGGGGAAGGGAGGAGGCTGGGATAATGGGTGCTTATGTGTATTCCAAAATGCTTTTACCAAAGGAATGAGCAGATATTGCAGAAGAAAGCCATTTTAAGTGAGAAGTCTGTTACCAAAAAAAAAAAAAAAATGAGCTGGGGGTGTAGCTCAGTTGGTAGAGTGCTTGCCAAGTGTGCCCAAGGCCCTGTGTTCAGTCCTTAGCCCTGAAGAAAAATTTCACAATATAATCATTGAGATCAAAATATAAAGTCAGACTATGAATACACTTCCTGAACATAATACCAAGACCCTCTGTAATCCCACCTGCCACTTGCACTATTTTTTTTTCATACACTTTTCTTTGAAAAAGCTTCACTTCCAATGTCAGAGGGTCCAGCTTCTGTCAGTCCATCATCCAACAGCTGCTCTCAGCCCTTGGTGGGCAGATGTAAATACCCAGTCATAGTGGCATGACCCCAATGAGCATATAGTTTGTCTCCCACTCTTCTTTCAGGAAACGTTACTGAGAGAGACAGAAAAGTGCTTGTGGTGGCCCTCCTTGGTGCTACCTGCCCCTGTGTCAGAGTGGGCAGATGGTGCAGTTGCCAGGTTGCCGGCCTCTCAGAAGAATGAAGAACTGGTAGAACTGGTGAGAAACCACACGAAGCCTGCGAATGCCAAACTCATGTGGAGGCCACATGTGCCCCTGCAATCTGTGTGTGCATTCTGTCTTCTATGAAGGATCGTCAACAAAGGAAGGGAACAGAAACTCTTCCCAGTGTGGGGCCACCTCCCCTTCCCCACACACGCTCAAGCTGGGGCAGTGGATTTAAAAGTGGGCAGAGGAACAGGGCCTCTGAGACAGGAGCTAGAGTAAGGGCTCAGCTCTCTTGTTTTGAATTTGTCCCTGGAGAAGAGAGGGGTTTTTAGAGCTGTCTTACTCTTCCAGGCCCACTGGGATGGGGGGAGGTCTTTGATGTAGTTACCCCACCACGCAATCTCATCTTAAGGTTCCACTTGAGCCACGCAGAAGGAATACGTCTTTTGAAAGAGCAGAAGCACCCAGAAGCCTCTGGGTGCAGCAGGACACACACTGTCTAAGCTCACCACCTGCCAGGCAGCCTGATGGGTGTTGAAACTTCACAGACTGGGAGAGAATTCCCCATCCAGATCGCCTGCTCCCCAGAGCTCGCCGATTGTCCTCATCCCTGTGAACAAAAGCAGATGTGTGCTCATGAGCAAAGTAAACATTCAAGGTCAATATATGTTCCTCTCCGCCAATCTAGCTTGGCACTTCAATACGAGCAAATCGTCTATGAAGCAGAGTGGAACTTTTCTATAACACTGGTGTCGAGTGACAGGACTCATATCTGTGTCTTAGGTTAACTGCTATATTCAGTGTCTACACAATAGACTTTTTCTGTTTGCCTGTTTTTTCCAGGGAAACAGAAACTCTGTTTGAGCTACAGTAAATCTAGTGACATGGAATAGTTCTTCCTTATTAGAGAAACAAGAGAATAAGAATACTTAAGAGCCGAAGTGTGCATCTTGGTCCTAATGCTTATTCTTGGTGGAACTTGGGCAAATGATTGAACCTCAATGTCTACTGCTAAAAAATGGAACGTTTAAATTTTTATTTATTTTGCTGCTGGAGGGACAGAGATGATCACTCGTCTATTCTGAACGCTGCAAATGTTGGGAAACAGAGAAGGAGCCTGGAGCCCTGAGCCTGTGTGGAGTCGGGCCTCTGCTCTTCAATTATGGGCCTCTGCATTTTTGTATAAAAAAGAAAAACCATCAAGTGTAAGCTACTGTTATTTTGTGTTCTATTACTCAAAGACAAAATGAATCCTAAGTGATAACAGTGTTCAGAAGCATGGATTCTGGAATTAAACTGCCTGGGTTCATTCACTTACTAGCTCACAAGCTAGTAATTTAATTTGTTTTACTTCTTTCCCTCAATTGTAAAGTGAGGAAGCTAAAGACAGCATCTACCTTCTAGGATTCTTAGGAATGAGCTCAGATATGTAGAGTTTAAAATATATAAAGACTTTATATATTTCATAACTGATTTTAATAATTGTTCATATTTATTATTTACCATGTTAATATGAACTATTACAAATAATAGTAAATAATAAATATGAGCGATTATTAAAATCAGCTATGAAATATATAAAGAATCAAGATGTTCCCAAATGGAACAAATCAAAGGGTATTCTTCTCTCAAATCAAAGGTAGGCTTTTTAGTATTAAGGAATATAAATGGTGCTGATATTAATATCTTTATAACTTGGGTGTAGCTCAGTGATAGAACACATGCTTAATATTTACAAGGCCTTGGGTTCAATCTCCTGACCCAATAAATAAATAAGTGGAACATGTATGTGGCACTTTGGAAGAATCTTTCCATCACTCTGATGAGTTAATTATAATTATTTGCATTTCATGGAGAAGATAATCAAAGCTCAGAGAGTTTAAGCAACTTGCCAAAGATCACACAGCTGCTAAGGAGCTGTGGTGGTATTCAAATATAGATATTTTGCCCTTTCATTTTCTACAAATCTTCACTTTCTTTTAAATGCAATTTTTTTGTACTGTTATGCACTGCATATCTTTATCATGTTTTTTTGTTTTATGAAAACCTTTTTGTAAAGGGCTGGATTTTTCTCATAGTAAAGAATCATAGTCCATATCCCCATGTAAGAAATTTTGTTTCTTCATCCCTGACAGAGCTCAGATACACACACACACACACACACACACAAAAGCCTTTATTTGATTCAGTAAAATGTTAACCCTAGAATATGCTTGAGAAAAGGAGATCCAACTAGGGCTCTTCTCAGGAATTGGGGTGGAAGAAAAGTCCGAGTCCATTTTGATTGCAATCTAGATAGTGGGGCTTGATTGTGACACTCAGGCTCACCCTGCAAGGGACCCAAAGAAGAGTGGAGCATCTGGGGTGGGGCCGGGCTGGCGGACAGTGCATGTGTTTTGAATTGGCAATTCTTTTAACAGAAGCAGTTTGGAACTAAGACTGGGAAGCTGCTGCTCACTGGGAATATTGCTGCCATTTTCCATGTTTCCTGAGGGCAGGGCCAGCAGCGGCTACCAGAGCATCTGGGGGATTTGAGTTCGATGCTAGGATGAACTTGCTCTCTCTAATAGTTGTGAAGGGCAGACACATAGGAGGCTGTAGACTGTTACTATCCACGAAAACGTGAAGAAAGAATCAGGAAGGCAGATGTTTCACCCTTTGTGCACTTTAGAAAGTGCTTTTGAGTTTCCCACCATGCACCGATGGTACTTCAGGTAGAGACTATGGATTTAGGAAACAGGAATGAGAACAAAAAGAAAGGACATAGTAATTCTCAGCAATATTTTCTTCATTCAGAGTAGTGCTGAGTTCAAATCTCAGCTTACTAATGCAACGATTTGGGCTAATATCCTTATCCACTCTGCTCAGTGTCCTCGTCTATAAAAAGGAAATCACAGTGTATCTACCACTTAGAGAGACTGAGGTTGAAGTAAAATATCTCTAATATGCATTTCATAATCTTCTTATGAAGCTTTTCCTTTTCTGTGACTCTATGATTCAGCACTTCCTGGAATTCAAAAGTACTAGAAACCTTCCAAGAGTTTAAACTTTCATTTCTAGCTTCTAAGCTCTTCCCAGCATTACTCTGAGAAGAGTGGTAGAGACATCAGAAATCAGGCACAGCAACTGGGCTTTGTCTGCTGGTTCAATAATGCCCCATCCCATTCCATCTTCTCCACCGTCTTCATTGTCAGAAACAAGATGCTCCAGGAGGGTAGACTCAAGGTGGGATGTGGCTATTGCTTATGCCTCTTGATGCCTGTATAGATGAGCTACACTGAAACCACCTAGGGGCTTGGGACAGAGTCCATAATGGGGCAATTCAAAGGCACAACTTTGGGGACAATTGGGCAGAAAAAAATCAGGCACCAGACAGGTGCTACCCCTGCTCACTTGGGGACCCTGATTCTCACATGTATTCAATGAGAGCATAAAATCAGGTAAATGCCACAGATCCTCCAGAGCCAAAGTGTCTCTGAGCCAGTGAGGTACAGAGCTCCTCCAGGCGTAATTCCACTATCTCCTGTTGGTTTCCGTGAGCCACACTCCTGAGTCTTGTTTACACTTCCTTTTGAGGAAATGATCATAAAAGTCTGTATAAAGTCTTCTTTCCTCAGTGGGGCTCTGGGCAGGGGCAGGATTGGCAGGCAGAGGCAGAGGCAGTCATGACAAGGGAGGATGCAGGGGAAAATGTAACCTGCCCGAGCTGTAGCGGCTGACAGTATCACCTCAGAGCAAGCCACCCCATAAATCCTCAGGCTTCTCCTGGGTGGAGAGGCCTGACTGCCGGGTTCTACTCCACGGGAAACTGAGAAGGTATGTAAGTTCTGTCCCCAAGCTTCTCATATCCTCCCACATCACTAAAAAGAGTCTAAGTCTAGACAAAAACATTCAAATTAAAAAAAAAAAAAAAAAAAAAAACTTGGATCCTAAAGAAGTTTGTTGTTTTCCTCATCTGTATCTTTAAAGTGAGAACTGACAAAGGAAAGAATTCCCTTTTTAACTAATAGGCTCCATAGGACTTCCCCTGTTGAATGTAGCTGCCCCAAAGTGAGGACAAACAGCTGAGAACAGTTGTTTTATGTGATTTTCTGTTTTCCAAGGTAAAGGGCAAAAAGATGTTCCCTAATCGGATTCTATCCCTTTTTTTTTTTTTTTGGTCAAAGGAGATAGAAACAAACCCCAAAAGAAAAGGAGTTTGTTCTCAGTAGCTTTCCATTCAGCTGGAAAAGAATTGCTCAAGTCTCTCTGGCTGCTACAACTTGTGTTTGCCTTTTCTTGCCATTTTGTGGAGGAGATGGCCATATATGCGGTTCGCTAGCGCCCCCTATCGTCCTTTTCAGGAAACTAACCATGCTCCATAAACTGCTATACTTGATTCCCTCTTAAACTCTTTAATAAATCTCAACAATTCAAAATTGTGATTCTACATTTGATTCCCTGCAATTCATGGTAAAGTTACATTGCTATTTCCTATACATATAGAATGTTAGGAAGGGTCCTTAGAAAATATTTAGCCAATTTATTTTATTTTATTTTATTTTTACCAAGTGTGGCATTAGTTATGGCTATAACCCCCAAAAAGGGTCAGGAAATGCTGGGTTAAATAGGCATTGATAAACATTAAATGTTTATTAATGGAGAGCCTTTTCTTCCAGGCTTCTCAGAGCATTTAATTTGGACTGTGTAGCTTCCAAGAGGAAATGCGATTTCTCAATCACACTTGACAACAGAACCACTTTTTATATGTATTTCTCATAGGGCCAATATTCAAAAGGACACACTTGGGATGTGCTGAGTCTAAATGAATCGTTATACAAATTTGGAAACCGAGTCTCAGTGACTCGGGGATAGTAAGGTCCCTGCAGGCAACTCCCAGCAACTTCTTTGTGAGGATGCCCCTGTTAAAGTTGACCTTTAGTACTCCTGTACCCACAAAGAATGTTTACGTTCGAATGGGGCAGGGCATTGCATGCAGCCAAGGACGTTAGGAAAGTCAAGTAGACCCCTTTTAAAGAGAACATTCCAACTATGAGGAGAATTTATTTCTGATATTTTCAGTTCCATTTCTCTCTGACTCTTCTAAAAACTTCATTAATTTATAAAAAGTCTCTGTTGAACAAATACTTATTTAGCACCTACTGTGCACACATACTAAGGAAGGTGAGGTGGTGATGGTACCACATCAGATAAGAGCCAAGTTCTATGGATGAAGTGCTGGGTCTGCCATATTCTGGTTGTGTGTATTTGGACAAGTTGCTTATAATTCTGTCTAAAAAAAACGGGGATAATAATGCACCCATGATAGGATTGGGTTGAGGATTGAAAAAGACAATATACAATAATGCACATAAAATGGTTAGCACTGTGCCAACACATAGAAGTACTCAGTAAATATTGGCCTCAGCTATTACTGTTGTTGTTGTGATTATTGAAGCTTATTTCCTGCTCCCAAGAACTTAATAATTCAGCTGGTGAAAAAAGACAGCACACTCAGAAACTTCAAATAACAATGAAAGGGAATGAACGAGAAGCATCCAGGTTTCACATCCACTTGCAAACTCCAGCTAGCCTTCAGTAGCTGCCTCAAGTGTCACTTAAATTCTTATG